TCTAGGTCTCCCCAGCGGTCTCTTCCCTTCAGGTTTCCCAACCAATACCCGGTGCACACCTCTTGTCCCATCCATGCGCGCTACATGCCCAGCCCATCTCATTCTTCTCGACTTAATCACCCTGACAATACTGGGGGAGGAGTACAGATTTTTTAAGCTCGTCATTACGCAGTTTTCTCCACGCCCCATCGTCTTCTCTCCGAGGCCTAAATGTCTGAAACCGAGTAATGGCGAGAGCCACTCACTCACCTGTCGATGGAGATTGCCATGAGCGTGAAGACGGAGGCGCAGATGGACAGCACCGCGACGAACTGGCTGATCTTGCAGTACAGGGTTCCGAAGGGCCAGTGGCTGTTCAGCATGTACGTGTAGTTGAAGGTGACGTTCAGGGCGGACACCATAGCGTCCGCGACGGACAGGTTCACCAGGAAGTAATTGGTAACTGTGCGCATCCTCTTGTTGGCCAGAACTATCCAGATGACGATGAGGTTGCCGCCCGTGGCCACCACGACCATGCCAGCGAACAGCAGTGACCATAACGCTTGCCGCCACAGAGGCAGGATGAACTGGTTGTGGTCTTCCTGTGTCACGTTGTAGTTTAAGGAGTAGGACTCGTTTGGCCACAAGGTGGTTGTAAAGTTCTCCAGACTTTCGTTCATTTTAGCAAATATTAATTCTCCTCACTCTCTGAAGTTGTTAGTATTGTCTTTACGGCAAGTTTCAGTGCTGACGCGTAATATTCATTTTATAAACGTCATGTTCTATCCAAAATTTCAGTATGAATTACGTTTGCACGTATATACTTTAAATGTGAAAATTCCTGCACTCCCAGATACGAAATTCATGTTAAAAGCACCACATTTACGTCTTTTAAAAATAATTCCTTTTGCTGCCCGAATATCTCTGATTATTCTTTCTTTTCGCATAAAATATTTGGATATGGTACGACACCTTATAAACACACATTCCAAATGATGAATTAAGAGTTCACAAATTATCGGTTACTTCGTATGTGACAACACCAAGTCCCAGACACGTCAATGAATACCGAGGTAAAATTTTCAACAGTCACAAACCGTTTCTAAAAAACGGGGTCGTATTTTGGAAAAATACAAACCAACATTCTTACAGATATTAGCGTTTCACTTTAAAATGCCTGTCTATCAACACTCATTCCACCACAAGCCTAAGACCTGACGGTGTACACACGAATCCGCAATCCGCAATGCCTTGTCTCCTCCACACACTTCTGTCGTGGTGTGCCTCAGGTCTCTTCGACAACCAAGGTCCTTCAGACGACGGTAAACAATAATCACACAGCAAGTCATAACTGACGCATATGTAGGGCGCATCACACAGTAATTTACCAGAAACAAATTAACAGTCTGAGACTTGCTCTGCCATGAGAAGGAGATAAGGCCTGATCAAGGCCTCCTCAGATTATCCTCTTCAAACACGAGCTGTATCTAATCTGGCCTTCTTCTCAGATCGACAAATCTGCAGTTGATATTTCTTTAAAATCGTCCACTATCAGAGAAGGCAATAATTCTCTTAATCTCGTTGCTTAGAAACTCGATGTTCTCTTGTCTGTCCACGGGGTCGCCTTACCGGTTCAGCCATCACAATGGCGGACATCTGAAACGATAAGAAGTCTGTGTTAATAATTTTCAACAAGATGAATGTTCCATCAATTTTCTTTCGTGGCTTTAAACTACTCTGTACCAAAGGCGGGTTTTTTTTAAAGGTCTCACGAGGTGAGATTAAAATAATTTAAGAAAAATCTGGAAGGATTCATACCAGATTAATCTATTAAAAATAGGCCGGCGTTTTGTCAGTCTTTAAACGTAACGAAATGCACATTCCAAGAAAAGTATTCTGTATATTGTATCAGCCTGTGTGTCTGTAAGCTCAAACTTTCTACCGCGGAGACCTCCGCCATGTTGTTGCTACTGATTGTAGGAACTGGGCGGTTCTACTTCGGTTTCCTCTCTTGACAGATATACTTTCCACGACGTGGGTCCTGACTATACACCGCAGTATTTAAGACTCTGTGGGACGGTTTTCTGCCTGGCACCCTGTACGTCACTGCGCCACTGCGCATTTGGTTTCACGGACGTCGCTTCTAACAGAATGGACAGTTCTCTCGTGGTCCGATTCATCTCATAATAACCAGAGTGCGCATCCATAAGCATCAGCAATGCGTCCGACTACTTAACACCAATTAACACAGACTTTATTCAGAAGCTTACAGTCGCTCAGCTAGTCAATATATGAGATCCAAACGTTCATTGCCGTGCTCACAAGAGTCCGCCGAATTCAGTTCACATCACATATCTTTATTATCCGTGATAATACCCACATTGCACCTTTACCACTCCTACGTTTATCAACTTGTCCCTTTCGTTGAGATTTCCGGATTAAAATTTTGTATTCACTTCTCATTTCTCAAATTGATGCTGAATCCCCCGTCTATCTTCTCGCCCTTTATTTGGTGACCCAAACTCTCTTCCGCCAAGAACTGAAATGATTAATCGTCTAATATTAATACTGAAAGCTCTAATTCCACTTATGACGAGGTAACATCACTGTCTGGAGTCACTAATAATATTCTAATCTCTGGGTTTAGAGCAAGATCCAGAACGGATCTAGGCAGCAGGAAGTATAGCCAGACAGTGCGCGATCACGTAATGCCCCAGGCAGCATAGACAACTTACGAAAAAATAATGTCCTCGAAATAAACAATAATTTTTCAGACGCTTAATTATTCTCTTACACGAAAGGCGAAGGGTTGCCATGGCATCCAGCTGTCCGCTCTGATGAGTTATGTCGACAGCGTTGAGACAGGCCAGAAAATCGCACTCACGCATGGCCGTAGTAAGGGATACTCAACTGTGTTCTAAACTCTCGAATGCTTCCTGAGGTGGCCCCCACATCCGATCCTATTCAATCTCTTTGAGCAAAGTGAAAGGCTTTCCTTTTGCAAATCCTTTCTTCGCAAATGCCTTACTTCCCCTGAAGCTCGTTCTTCAGTTGCATCAAGTCTCGGCTTCTCAGTTCGTTTTATTCCCACATCGAAAGCGGCTTAAGAGACTCAAATGGGCTAATTCTATAACGCCAAGAAGGTAGAGAACAGAGGTACGCGTCTGAGCCAAGAGTCAGACAAAGAGATTGCCACTGCAAACCTCGGATGCTGTTCGGCTCCAACTCAGCTACTATACAAATATTAAACATGAGAAAATGTTCCACTGCACGGATGTCGACATGGCATTTACATGCCTTCTTAACGATACCCCCAAAGGGCCCATTTTCAAATTATTGTTTATTTCCGCAAGAAATGCCCTTTTAAAGATGTTCGTTAAAATATTCTCATAAAATATGTATTTCACGAATAAATAGATATTTGAAGGGCATATAAAGCGCATGGCGAGGATGAGAAATGATTAGAAAATTATAGCTGAAATGCCAAAGGAGAGACTACCACTCGGAAGATGGATGGATAATAATATTAAAGTGGATCTTAATGAAAGACGGCGTGGTCTGGATTCATCTGGCGCAGTATACGGAACCAATGGTGGATTCTCGTAAACATGGTAATGAACTTTCGGGAATATCTTGACAAGCTTGGTGTACTCTTAGGTTCTCAAAGACTAATACTTTTCTCGAGTAAAAACCACGTCTTTCTCAATCTGTATTCCCGTGTACGACGTAAAATAACTTTGGCGATGTATTCAACACCTGTGCCTTTCAGTTTGAGAAAATTACCACAGGTACAAGGACCGCGGGGCTCAAAATTCGCTGCTGCACACGAGATATAAACTTGCATGTCAAAAGCTTTCCATATCGCCGCAGTTCCTAGTTTCTGGCACAAGTTCCTTTGGCCGGCAGCTTCAAAGAGCTTTGTTTGTCAGCTGACCCAGACTTTCGGTATGATAACAGCGCTCTGCTTGTGTGCGAAGCCAGCTCCCCGTGTTGGCACAAGGAACCTCTAAATCTAATTTCAACGTTGCAGAAAAGTTCTGCGAGGTCTGCGTTTTACCCCACTACCAATAACAACTGTCACGAAGAACACGCGCGTGACACACGAGTGTTATACCTGAAACACGTGACATTCGGAAGCTGCCATCTTAAGCTGACATTTATTTGTGGGTTTATCCGGTATTTCTGGAGACAGTTAGGATTAAACTCGGGACCTTTTGAACAAAATTAAACTTTTTTAAAAAAAATCATTATACCACCGGTGTGCAGTGTAAGAACCGCGTTCGATACCGTAATACTATATTCTGGGGAAATTACGTCGTTAATCTAGATAATTAAACCGACTTATTAAAGGGAACATCTCGCAAATAGCTGAGCGACTAGTGTATCCTAAAGAATGGCTGTCCTCCATTGAGTTAGTTACTTAATTAATAATTTACTGTTTTAAAGAATGTCCACCAGGTGTCTACCAAGGATGAATCCATATTCAGATATTTCAGCTGCACTCAGTATAAAACAACTTTCAGACTGAAAATGGCTGTCTTGTGGGATGAGAGGTACTGACAACAAGGCGTGACCATATGAGCGTGAGGACCTTAGCTACGTCACTCATTTCCCGCCCCTAAAAGACAAATTGCTACGGATTCCATAAAAAACACGTTCTGTACTTATGCTGCAATTTATCTGAATTGTAATATTTCATCTCCCATAAAAAACAGGAATACGTAATTCTTCCTTCCTATCCGAACATCCCCAGATGACCATTTTTCTAACGGAACGTCAAGAGGGCGTATTTACTGCTTAAACTTTTCGCTGTGGGGGTTTGGGGGTTGGAAGGGACGCATGGATACTTCACCCCTGAGCTGAAGGTCCTAATGCGCGTCATATGAGGGCGACAGGTGGTGACATTCACACACGAATGACCGAGCAGTGGCGGCTAGTGTAAACTGGCAAACAATGCGAGAAGACAGGGCGGTTCATGGTAATCTAGGGTGCAGCTGAGGAAAGACACGAAACTGCACTCTTCCCCATAGTATCGAAATATTCTGCCTCTGGTTCGACTACTGTATCAGTTCAATCCAGGTCACAAATTCTTTACGCGATATTTCTTTTTAATATTGTAATACCACATTGTTCTGTATCTACCACGCGTTCCCCTTAAAAGGACCGGAGACCACTTCCTGCGATATCCCTTCCATGTCGCAACTCACGATTCTACTCAGTCACTGCACCTGATGGGTAAGCGTCCATTTCTCAAGCTGTTTATTATCTCGGAGGCTGCAGGAAGGAACCAAGAATCACAACAGTTTGTCCAACAGAGTTAACATAAGTGGGAACAAGTTAGGAATCTAAGATACCTCATATAAATAGACGCTGAAGTGGAGATACCTGCCTTTGATCCCACTTAATTAGTCACAGCAGATTTGCTTGGAAATTGTTTCAGATTTATCCCATGTCCAAGACATAAAACAATTGTAATTTTTCTGTTGAGGGGCAAATTTAATCTAAATCATATTTACGTCGAGCGTTCAGTTGCTAGGGAGAGGCGCAAATCACCACACAATGTTCGTTTAGGAAACGTTTTGCTGCTTATTATGACAAGGGCAAAAACTGAAGCTACCAACTACGTAAAAATCACGACACCAACAGAATCATCAAAAACAGGTCAACGCGGTTCGAACCACCCTGTACACTGGGAAAGAGAGCTTGGAATTCTGTGAATGGTATTTTAGCCTATCAACGGGAGTAACAAAACTTTGTCTGGAGTATTTCAGCACGGCCCGTCTGCAAATCCAGGCTGTGCAGCATTTCCGAAGCCTCGAACGGTCTTCAAAGTCCACCGAATTGACTTCATGGTCTAACGCCAAGTGCTCTTCAGAATGAAATAAATACAATAAGGTCTACGTAACACCGATCTCGCCACGGGCGTGGAATTTAGAATTTCTGTTTCGTATTCTTGTTCGAATGTCCCTCCAGATACGGGACACCTTGGCTGCCCTTGGTTAGGGGACACGCAATACGAGCGCGTCTCTCTCTCTTCGTCCATCACCTGAGAGCACGCAACTTCTGAATCGGACGCCTGAACTGTCAACACTGAAGATCAGTTCCTCAGCCAGTTCAATCCAAGCTCCCAAAACATGTGCCCACGAGAAATGTTTTCGTATTATCGCCAAATCTCGATCCTGGAATTTCAAAGAGTCAGTTTCCAGAATCTACCCTATGAGTTCTTAGTGGTTTCTTGTCCAGTGCGACAGTCATGGAGTCGGTGGGACGCCAGTACGATGCCTGCAGTATTAAGAACACTGTCTACCAGTACAGCGATGCCTAGCCTTCGGTGTACTTCAAGTTGCTACCCCAAGAGAGGATGACTGGTTTCAGGGCACTTCTGAAGACAAAGTCTTCAGAATAAGAAGCATCTTTATTTAAAGTCGACTGGTAACAATATGTACCACCTTCTTTAACAGTCAGTAATTGTGTATTTAGTATTTACGAGGCTTGAATGATTCTCAGAATAAACAGCGATTATTTCCTTAAACAACGTTAACCATTCGATCTTTGTAATGGTGAAGTGTCGTGTTTTCTTCGCGGTACGGACTGAATTCTTAAATGTAATTTAGACGAACTATGATTCTCACTGTAAACAGCGATTATTTCCTTAA